CTAAACACATGCATAGTTTTTTTTTTTTTAGCTTAAAAGGCTTTGATCATTTGCACCCCTGTACAGTTACCATAACAAGTATTTCCCCGGTACTTTACCATGCGTTTCACAGAGCAGGAGGCTTGGTGATGGTAAGGACACTGTTCAGCTGCAGATGGCGAATGTTTCACATAAACTTAATCTCCAAAAACCTGAACTATCCCTTTTAAGACAGTTATCAGACAAAAACTCAGTGGACGAGGCTGTGTATGAATTAAAAGCTGGGAGGATCTATTATAATGCAACGGGTCCAACTAGAGCTGCATGGTGGTGCAGTTTGTTGCACTGTAGCAGTAAGAAGGTCCTGGGTTCAATTCCTGGTCCAGGATCTTTGGGCACTGAGTTTGCATGTTCTCTAAAAACATGACAGTTTGGCTATAATTGGTGTCACTAAACTGTCTTTAGGTGTGAGTGTGTATGTGTAATGTTGTATGTCTCCATGCTGCCCTGCGGGCGACCCGTCCAGGATGTCAGAAACAGAATAAAGTTTATTGCCAAGTAGGTTTGCACTTACAAGGAATTTGACTTGGTGTTGATGGTGCAGACAAAATATATAGATAGATATATACAGAATACTGATTCTATAGCTATATACAATATAGAACATACAATTGCAATATATAGTGCATAGCTATATAGTATATACACTGTAGATTGTGTAAATTTAACTCAGGAAGGTCTGGAGGTGTACCCCGCCGTTTGCCCATAGACTGTTGCAGATAGGCACCAGCCCTACGAATGAAACAGAAAAAGATGGATGGAGATAAAATAAAAAATAAAAAAATAAAACTTGCTCAAAATGTCATATTTACATCCTGCTTTTTAATTCTGGGAGGATCAGTGGAAGCTTTGTGCATGTGTCAATCTTCTCTCCCTGACTGCAGACACAGGCTGCAGCTGCTGCGTCTGATTCGCTGTCAATGTTTTGGAGGTGGGAGGGGCTCACTCAGTAGCTATTTGATGAAGACCGTAAACTAAGAGTGACCAGTCAGACATGCAACCGATCTGGTGGTCTAAAAAGTTCATCACATGGAAGCTATCATGACTAGCTATCAGAAAAACAAAATCTTACACATTTATGTGGGAGGGAGGCTGGATTAAAGACAACTGAGTTAATCTTGTGACAGAAGAAAAAAAACTTTAGGTGATGACTGAATCTAGAGTGATCTGGGCGTTCTGTAGACAGAGGGGCAATCTGCAGACACCCACAGTAGTTAGCCATATACCATGCCTGAAGTCCCAGCAGCCATGTTGGGTGCCTGCCAATGGAACGTCCACT